CAAATATTGGTACACTTTATTTTGAATGTGTCTTAGTCAATAATAATAGAATTAGTTTGGACATGCATTGTAGGGCAGCAAATAAATGTTATCCTTGGTTTGTTGCATTTAGAAGAACTTGAAAGATTCACATGTTTGTACCATTTTACTAAGAGTATGTAGATTTTGGAAATATTACAGGCTAGAGAATAATTTTAGCCATTCTCCAACAAATGTAATTGATTTATTACTTCCTTTGTTTAACTTCATATGATGGATGTAATATTACCACAATGACTGAAAAGTTACTTTGAGCTCTCAGTATGGTAACTATTTGGCAATATATAGTTAATGCATTTTTTTTGGTGTGTTATACAATTGAGTCAAAATGGAGAGAGAGCACAGATTTGTTTGGGGTTCTGGTAGAAGTTTTTGTTCTTAAAATGTTCTCCATTCACACTGTGACATGCAGATATAACCTATGATGATACATTCCATGTTAATTTCTTTTGACAAGTATCTGAATTGTGTATATTTTTAGTGCCTGTTTTCTTGTAATTCACAGCAACATGGAGGGAAAAATAAAAATCTTTCAGAATTTTTGTGTTCTTCAGGAGATTTGGAGTGAAGATAAATATGGGCCAAGCCGCTGACAGAAAAATCTTGTTTAATTTTCTATGGTATTTCCTGAGCTTATTTTCCAGTTACCAGTGTACAATATTAGACAATTTTAATGAAATACATGTATTATTTCATCTAAGCAGATGACAACCACATGTATTATTAATATTGAACACCATAAATTCTATTTTATAACAGATGTATCATGTGATTGTACATGAAGAGTCTTCACGTATCAATCTTGTTTTTCAAAGCTGTCAGAACTCAGTTATTAAAGAAAAAAGAAAGTATAATCTAGCTCAGTTTTGTATACTCAGTTTTGTTATGAACACCCTGCAGCTGATTGTGTCTGCAGGTTTTTAGACACTGTTTGCTTGTCTGGGTAATGTTCCATTTGCACTTCTTTATTTAGCGGCCAGACAGAAGATGTTGACTACTAAGACATTGTAAATAAATCAGATTCATTTGTGCAGCATGGCTTGGTTTGGATAAGCAGACCATTCTGCTTTTCCTAGTAACATGAGTAAGAGTATTGGATTTTTTGTTTTGTTTTGTTGCTGTGCATTCATTTGACCCTTGAATAGCTGCTGGTTATGGCAGATACAATTTTAACATTACTGACTGATTCATCTTTCCAAGAAGACAGGTTTCTACAGGATTTTTTAAAAAGTGGCACTAAATTTTGACCACTATAATTTCCAAAGCTTAACAGTCTCTAGCAAAACTATCTTTACCAAATGAAGTAGTTAATTCATCTACTGAATATTTGCTGCCCCACATTGGAGATACCACTCATTGTTGCAGATGAAGCATGTGCTTAACAAAATAGGTAAAAAGGATATCTACGCTTATGCCTTGTCTTTCTCACACACACACTCTAGTCCCTGGTTTCATGGCTTGAATGCTAGTTTGTTTTCAAACAAACAGCCTTCCCAATTGTCATCAAATGATACAGTTGTCCATCCTAACCATCATATAATAAAACAGTAGTCGCAGTATTTCTTGAATCTTTACATGTGGACTGGCAGCACCAGAAGTTAGTGTGATTGTGTGTTTGAAATTTCTCTGAGTTTATCCTCAATAAATGTTTTAAATATAAAGGGCCTTAAATCATTCTGTTCCACCCCCTCCCCTTCTTCCTGCCTCAGCCTGGAATGGGAATCTGCTTTGCATTTTTTTTGTGTGTGTTCTGAATTTAGCAAATTGATTTTAGTTGAGCCCCTGGAAATTAAAATATTGTTTTACCTTCTATTAAAATATTACAAAACCTCATACTGTATAAAGTTCACTTTCTCCATCAGGAATCAGGATTTTAAAAGTGGCATGTCTCTTTACTTTTCTCTCAACACTTTCAAGTTAAGATTCTGACTTCAATCTGAATCTGAAGAAAAGGCTGGAAGAAAATTACTTGTTTACATTTGGTTTCAAGCTAAAGATGGTTAAAAGAGGCGGAATCCTTCTCTTCCAACAATCAGCAATTTTTACTAGGTTGGATTGCATCGTGGCAAATCAGCATTCTTGAATATGGGCAGTGTTTGTTGTTTCTGATAATGACACTGTTTCAGTCTAGAAGTTCTTATGACTGTCAGTTTTTTTTTTAAATAAATGGCATTCCTGGGAGTTGTTGGCTGAGGATTATTTATTTCTTGGTCAGTGTTTATAAAACCAAAGTCCGCTTCCAAGTTTTGATTCCTAAAATGTTCTAAAGCATCTTGGCAGTACATCTGCAAATCAATACACTTTTCACAGCAGTTATAATAGCAAGTGAATTTACTGTTGAGAGGAAGACTTTTATTTTCTCACATTCAAACTATTAAGTTGTAAGTGCTGAGGAAATGTGATACACTTAAAATAAAAATAATAGCTCAAGAGAAGAATTGCATGTCAAATGGAAAGTACACTTATATTTACTGGGTAAATTGTCCAGAAAAGCACCAAAATATTCAGAGCTGTCCAAAAATTGATCTTCTCCAGTGAGGTTACAAATTCTAAGAATTTTGGTCCCAGAAAACCACCAGTGCAGAAAGTTGAGGAAACTTAGATAACCACCATTGTTTACCAGTCATATAAAATAAAGCTATGCAAATCCTTAGAAAAATACGTTTTGGAATGTACAAAGTTTGCATGATGCATCTTTACTCTAGACTGACATGATTGCTTTGAAAGCTACTTCTGTTTCCTCGTGATTGTACATATTTTCCTTAACTAGACGCATTGCTCTTGCTTTCTGTGTTGAATCCAGACAGATTTGATCAAATGATTCACCACACGTATTGCTTATTTATTGTTATTGGATATTAATAACCTAGCTATAATGTTATATAATTTAAAAATTTATATTTAACTTGTTCAATTTATGCATAGCCTGACTCCAACCGAGTTTGAGCAGTATACAATTAAATCAACAACAAAAAAATAATCAGGAAACAATCATGAAAGATTAAAAGAATAAACAACAAAAATCAATAGCTTATCTTGTTAACTGCACCCATGTACAATCTAGCAGGGACCCCAACTACCGCAAATCCATAGCTTAAGAACAGCTAGGTCTTTAAGGTTTTCTGAAATATCAGAAAGGTGGGAGTGCTGTGCATTTTGGGGGACTCTTCATTTCATATGACAGGGCTGTTGCAGAGAAGACATGCTTCTGGGGGTCTGATAGGTGATATTGATATATGAAAGAGTGTGCCATCTTTCTTGTATTGAACCAATTGGACTGTAATGGTATCTGTTAAGGAGACAAGAGAGACAAAGGAAGAGCCACAGCCAGGGCACCAGTCAAGAGGAAGCTTAGCCCTCAGAAGGAATGTGAGTGTGGGAAACTTCTCAGAAGGAATCCTTCCTGGTTTCTTGGGCTATAAAAGTGATGTGAGAGAGAAATCGGGGTGGGATCCTACTGGCATAACAGCTGGTTCAGTGAGTATGCGCTTTGCGCAGTACTTGCAAAACAACTTCTCCTGCAAGCAATCATTATATCCTGCTGACGTGTGGCACTCAGCTGTGTTGTGCAAAGCAACTAAGATAAGAATAAAGGACAGCCTAGAGCCGGGGTGGGCAGGTTCGATGTCAGCTGCTCTTTGGAGCTACCAGTTCTATAGAACCAGGCTGAACCAGTAGAATCCCACCCCTGAGAGAAATGTACTTTCAAATTTATCCTGTTATCCTATTTATCATGTTACTAAAATCTTATAATAAAGTACAATTAGTTCACCTGGGCATGCAACTTGTCTGGACTACCTCTCAATAACTAAGGGGCTAGCTACCATAAAGAGGAGAGGGTCAACCCATTCCCCAAAGTGCCTGAGGGCAGGACAAGAAACAATGGATGGAAATTAATCAAGAAGGGGACCAACCTAGAACTAAGGAGAAATTTCCCAACACTTAGAACAATTAATCAGAAGTTGAAGATGCTCCAATCCTGGAGGATTTTAAAAAGAGCTAGGACAACTATTAATCCAAAATGGTACAGGGTCTCCACTTGAGCAGGGGGTTGGACAAGAAGATCTGATCTCCAAGGTCCCTTCCAACTCTTATTATTCGGTTATTCTGTTATTCAAGTGAAATGGGTTGATTCTATGGCAGATAAGGTGTCTCTGAAATGACCAAGCACAATGCCTTGCAAAGGTGTCATATAGGACTACCAAGCTATGTCCTTCATTGTCCACACTGCTAAATTCTGGACTGGTTGGAGCTTGAAGGGCAGCCCATATGGAGTACGTTGCGGTTGTTAAGCTGAGATGTACTATAAAATAGTAAATATAACACAAGATGATGGCGATGTTATCCATTCTGTCATGTGCACATTTTTTAAAAAAATTGGTTGGCAAAATATTCATAGTGAATATCTTTACTAATGTTTTTGATAGTTGGCTTTGAATTGATCTTTTAGGAGAATATTTGAATTATTGGCTATGTTATATGTACATATTTGAAGGTTCTACCTCAAAAGGTAAATGTTGAAAGCACAATGTCATATCCAACTTCCTGTTTTACAATGCTTTCATAAAGTGAGAATAAGATAGGATAAAATGATAATTACATCTTAGAACTGAAGGTCTTGATTTTTTTACTTTTTCCTATTAACTGCAATTTTGTTATTGTGCAGCTGCCCCATTTTACTAAATATGGCTTTTGAAATGTAAATCATATCATGTTCTAAAATGCATTATTGACATCGTTCAAGACTATCTTTGCATTTCAAAGGCATATGCAATCATACTTGGATCTCAACAAAATTCTAACAAATCCCTTTTAATGTGTATAATCAGTTCCTGCTAAATGGGTCTGTGTGTGCGTGTGCGTGCACGTGCGCAGCATGTTTGTACATGCATGCAAATGCTTTGAATGTTGTAGATCTTGCCATAAATCATCTTAAAACATCTTTCTTTTCAATTTCTTAGTCTGCACAAGTGAACGGTGAAGATCAAAGTGATCACCAGAAAAGGAGTGAAGAATACCTCTGGCTGACTCTAAGCAAAATGAGCACACAAACAAGCGATAGAACTCTATGATGTTCGCCAAGCAGAAACTTAGACTAAATGTTGAACTTCTTTTTATTCATGGAATGGCTGCTATTGTCTTCACAAATACAATGGCTATAATTCTTTGTCAGGACAGTTGAGGCACTTCACCTGCATTTGCCATTTGAATTTGAGACACATCCTATTTTCCCTAGGTCTTAAAGGACCTGAGAACAGGTGGGAACCAAGGGATGTTAAATGCTGGATTGGGATAAAAAAATGGATGCTCACATGTGAAGATGGAAGTAACTTGATCCCTCCAACTGCATAAACTGCCTCTGGAAAGGAAAGGTTAAGATTGGAGTCACAAGCTTTAGTGGGAAGCAGTATGCAGGAAGCTGGTTTTCAGGCCACAAATGCTTTCACAGGTAAGGATTTTGTTGTACTGAAATATAATCTTCTGATTCATTTTTGCATCGGATGTAAGGATTTGAGATAGGCAAATCAAAGCCTTGCACTCTTAAAGTTTATTACAGTTGTATATCAAGAGCTGCTTTTAGTGATATCCTTCTGATGAGGAGAATCAGAATAATATCAAACTGGAGAAGTATTATTAAATATTTCAGCTAGTTTTCATTCAGTGCTAGGCATGAAACATGATAGAGGATACAAAGTTTTATATAGATTTCCAGAATATTAAGTGGTGAATTTGTTTTTCAATTATCAAATGCTAGATGACCTTGTATAGCTGCATGCTGTTTTTGATTTAAAAGATAAAATTCATAACTTTTATATCAATTTTGTTAAATTTAATATACCTGCTGTTGAAAAACTGGAATAGTGCAATGTATGTCTCATCAAGGAGCCTCTCAAACTTTGTCAGTTAAAGCTTTTAACCTTTGTTTTTTGGATTTGGTCAGAAAAACTTGGGCAATCATGAGCAACAGTAAGTGGCGACTCTTTAGACTCCAACAGAGGTTATTTGGAAAAACATAGTGGTCATACAATGTAACTCTAGTCAGACCAATTTTTTTCATATGTGGGTGAACTTGGCAATTTAAACCAATAAGCTGGATGTGGTTTATTTCTGGGTTTTTTTGTTTCAAGGTTTTTGGGAACCCTATAATAAAAAGAAATAAATATCTTTCATGGTAATGTTTTTTTTCACAGCTTGATTTAGTGAAATTCTAGTAGAAACTATAATCATCTACAAAAGGAAATTTAGACACATTCTATTGTATAGTTTAATGATTTAGCTGTTTCTGTTGGCAGAAATTAGAGATGGTAGGTTGGTTGAGTTTGTCATCTTGCGGAGTTAACTGAGGGATCTGATTTTCTAAGGGTCCAATCCAGACTGGATTACTGTGTTAAATTCCACTGAAGTTGATGAGACATTGATTTCAGTACAGACTAAAGCTTCTTAAATGAGTCTGAATCCTAGCAATTAAAAATAACGAAGTTGACATTAATCCAACTCATCCTAAACAGTCCCACTGAAATTTTTGGAATGTCTGTTGTAATGCTTATGTCAAAGATTGTTATAAGAAGATCTCAGCCGCAAATGTCTTCTATATAATAGGACGTTACCTTAAGACATTTCCAATTTTTATATGCTTTCTTCAAGACTGCAATCTGTTTCTGACCTAGGTGACTGGGAAAAGAAAACCTGAAATGTGTACAGAGAGCTTATATATGGCATATATGCGTATGCCAATAACTTGCAACAAGTCAAAATTATCAGTGGGAGTTGATATAGCTAAGATTATGCTGTGTCAGATAGAAACCACGTGAAATGTATCTTAAAGAAAATTGCTGAAAATTGCTGAATCGATCAAAATATTTTTTCCATATTCAGAATCTATTAAACAATGTGTATGATTAGAGACATTTCTGATTGTTAAGCAAAATATGTCTCCCAAGCCTGTTTCTGTTTAACATGGTATAAATAGTCCTCGACTTACAACCACAATTGAGCCTAAAATGTTGATTGCTAAGCAAGACAGTTAAGTAAGTTTTGCCACTTTTTCCAACCTTTCTTGCCACAATTGTTAAGTGAATGACTGCAGTTGGTAGGTGACACAGTTGTTAAGTGAATGACTGCAGTGGTTAGGTGACACAGTTGTTAAGTGAACCTTGCTTCCCCACTGACTTTGCTTGTCAGAAGATCACAAAAGATGACCACATGATCCTGGGACACTGTAGCTGTCATAAATACATGCCAGTTGCCAAGCATCTAATTTTGTTCCTATGTCCATGGGGATGCTGCAACGGTTGTAAATCTAAAAACTAGTGATGTCACTTTTTTCAGTGCCATTGTAACTTTGAATGGTCACCAAAAATGCTTGTAAGTTGAGGACTACTTTCCTTCTTACAAAAAAAAACAAACAAACCCAGCCTAGAAATGGAATGGCAAATGATTTGGAACAAATGATTTGTATGTAGATTAGAAGATAAAGATGTCCTTGAGTCAAGTTCCTGAAAAAAATGGAGTTGAAACCACATCCATGAATTTTCTTTGGCAGGGTTATGGAAGTGGTTTGCCATTGCCTTTTTACTGGATCTTGTATTGCCCTTTCTGTCAGGGTAATGATGATTTAATAGCTGACCAGCTGCTGTAATGTTGTAATACTGTAATCTTGTAATGATAATGCAATGGTAATGATGAGTTAGCTGAGTTATTTGACTGCTACCACTTTAAGAGGCTGTAATATAAGTGCCACCCTGTGCGGGTTTATCTTTCTCTCCATGTGTGCTTCCATAGTATAGCTAATTACTGGTTGCTATGCTTTATTTGCTCCTGGGTTGTCTCACCTAGTCACACTGTGTGCACTCTGACACTTTCAGCCTAGCCAATTTTCTTAGAATTGTTAAGCAATCTCACTTTTCAAGTACTGTCTATCTGTATTCGTGTCAGAAGCACCTACAAAGCTAATGGAAGGTTGCTTCTCAATTTAAAGAATTGGCAGTGACAAGCCTGTTGTCAAGGGGACACCCAATTGCCAAAAGTAATGAAATCCTTGGGGAGGCTCCTTTTCATGTCCCCCTTTCCAAGTACTAAACACAACCGACCCTACTTAGTTTCCAAAGTAAGTCACAGTCAGTTAGATGATGCCATGTTGAGAAGCAATATAATCTAATTTGCTTTTTTTATGCTTCCCCTATATAGTTTTACATTTAGGATGATTCTTAAGCTTTATAAATTGTGATGAAGTCTCTTGGCTAAATAATAAAATTGTGATAAGTAGGTAAGATTATGCGTTTGTTATGTCATGCGTTCAACTTGTTTCTGCCATAGATCACTTCTATTTTGTGTAACATAACATAAGGTTATGTAATATTTTGTGCTAAGGGTTGTTACTAGATATTCTGAACTTTACTTCATACACATAAAGAAAATTTCAAAATAAAGAAAATAGAATTACAAATGTAACCCTTTAACTAGTGAAGTTGTGATCTTCAGAAGTGTATTTTAAAACTACATTCAAGTATTTTTATGAACTTTAATGTAGCTTCACTATGAAGACTGCCACAATAGTTTGTATCCTTATTGTAGAGGCACAATAATTTTAAAGCTTTATTTAGAAGGCCAACAGAAAGAATAATGAAATAATTGCTCACCTTGATCTAAATAGCTTAGGGGGGTAGCATAATGCTCACCAATCAGACCGTTTGGATTGTAACTCTAACCAGGTCTATCCAGCATGGCTAATGATCAGAAATAACAGGTGTTGTACATAAAAAAAGGTCTGTTGCAGTTTTGCATGGTTTGATGTTCAAAAAAGATTAATAAATGATTAATCACTGAGAATGTTTAATTATAGTAGAATATTTAGTCTTTGTGTGTGTGTATGTGTGTGTGTGTATATATATATATACACACACATACATATATACACACATATACAATACAGAAGCCTGATGATGGCAGATGAGATTCTGCTGAAACGTCGCTATAACTTTAAAAGCACAACTATAATGATGTGGGAAAATACCCGAACAAAGCTGAATACCATACATATAGATACCCACGAAAACTTAAGAAAATATATACATATACATACACACACACACACACACACATATATAGGACTATATGTAAAGTGTATTTATATTTTTTACTATTACATGCTTAATTCAAAATCATTTCCTTATGTAGCTCACCATAGAAAATTACAAAGGAAGAATATAATACAAGTAAACTTTCTCACTATTATTTCTCAGCATACTGTCTGATCCTGATAGATAGAAGTTATGGTTAATTAGCACACTCTGTATTCTACACACCTAGATAGTTTCGATCAAATCTTGTTCAAGTATCCCTTTTATTAATTAACAGAGATGGCTAAACTTTTGAAATACAAGCAGTTCTCACTTAAATGGCAAAGGGTTAAAAAAATTGTGACATTTGATCGAAGATCAGTATTCTTTCCCACAAGATATTTCATTGTTCACAAATTGTGACAATACAAGTTCTACATATGAGACAATTTTTATCTCAGTGGTAGTTCATGCTTTATATGTCAAAGGTCCCAAGTTTAATCTTTAACATCTCTTGGTTAGTCTAGAAAAGTTTCCTTCCTGAGACGGGAAAGCTACTGTTTGTCAGTACTGACAATACTGAGCTAGGCAGACTGACTGTATGACTCAATAGATTGGAACATCCTGTGTTCCTTTCACAACTTGGTATAAATGCAAATCCAGCTGGCAATGTTTAAAGCATCCAAAGATACTGTTGATGGGACTATAATTATGAGGAGGCAATGACAGAATGAAAAAAATGGCAGCAAATGATATAGCATAGTCTGCAAATCCTGAAGAGCTCTGCTATTATGGACCAGTCAAAAAAAGGAAGACAAACAAGAGAAGAGGACAGATTGGCTGTTTGTGAATAAAAGAGCGATAGGTTTCTAGAAAATTTCCAAATGTTTATGCGTTAACAGGATAATTATTTCAAACTGTCTGCTTTTGGTATCTTTGATAAACTCAGTTTCAGTTCCTGTCAGATGCAACATGACAATTCAAGTGTCAGCTTCTCTGCTGATCACTGAACAAAATGTTGTGAAAGTTTCCTTTTGCTTACAACTTTCTATACCACCCAATCCTACTGGCTTTGGATGATTTACAAAAATATGCTCAGATAATATAATAATAAAACTCTAGAAAATCTATATGAAAACTCTGATGTAGAGGATGCTTACTTCAAATATGGAAGTTGTTTGTTCCTTAATGTTGGGCCAACTTGTATAACTGACAAAGAAAATAATTGCTGATGTAGAATTCAGGCAACTTTAAATTCCTCAGAACAATTTTTCCAGAGTATATTTTCCTAAACTGGTGTTCTCCAGATGTGTCTGTTGGCTGATGAGTGTTGTTAGTCCTAAACAAATCTGAGACAATTGTTCTGGAACTTCAGAAGGCTTAGGATGTT